AAAGTGATGCAAATGTTGATATGGTGGATGACTGTCCTAACTTCATGCACAAGATGATGAACCCTGAGCTGCTAGTGATACTTGCGGAGTGAGATCTTAGGAATTATCAGTGCTGGCTTCACTGAAAACATCAGCTTAGGATCATTCCAAAAACCAATGTGAATGTTAGAAATTGTTAAGAAAGGAATAGAGAGCAAAACAGAATAATCCTTATTCCACTGGATAAACTTATGATTAATCCTGCTGTGTGCAGTTTGGACCTCATTTCAAAGACGTTCATTATAATGGAATTGCAGGTGGTTTAGAAAAAGGCATCACGGGCAGTATTATGCATAAAATGGCTTTTACATGCGAGACCAGCCGAGTAGATTAGGACTCTTTAGCCAGGAAGAGACAACTTATAGGGGAATACTATAGAGAGAGATTTTGAACAAAGTTGTAAGTGATGTGGAAGTCAGTGCACATAGACTATTTGCTGGTTCTTCACTCAAGGCCAAGAGCTAGATGTCATCAAAGCTAGCAGGAGCCAGGTTCAAAACAGACAAAATAAGGTGGTTCCTTATATAATGGGTAGCAGATGTGTGCAGCTCCTCATGAAGATGATGTTGCAAATCCAGAATGTTTACATAGTTTCAGGGGAGGCTGGAAAAAACATGAAAAGCAGATTCATTCAGAGTTACTAAATAGATAAAATATATCAGCCTAGAGAAATTCCTTGAGCTGAAAATAGTTGGAGTCTGGGAAAATATTAGGGGAACTATAAGTAACCTATATGCTTGCTTTCCTCTTACTCTTGGTATCTGCATATGGTCCCTGTTCTTTCAGACCAGAGTGGGGCTGGAAACGACGAATGATAAACACAATCTTTCTTGTTATCACAAAGTATGTAGTAAAGTTTTCTGCAGCTGCACTCCCTGAGCACAAATGATGAGCTTACTGGCCTACCTTGACCATTGCTCTGTAACAGTACAGCTGTCTTTGGTTTTGTTGGCTCAATAAAAACAGTACTAGTGGAAGTTGGTTTTGAGTAAGAGCTTTGAAGGAGCAAAGGGTTATGTGAACATGTGGCTTTGAATACGAGTTCAGATCATTAATACCCTTTAGCAGATCTTTAGAGCTTCACAAGAGATTTTCAGAACTGTAGCATATCCTTAGTGTTCAGCAACAGCTGGATCACAATGCCAGATGTGTATTAGACTTGATAAAACAAGACTGACTTCAGACTTCTTATAGGTAAAGCAAGACATTTTAAGAATATAGAAGAATATTGGAAGAAAAATAAGACATTATGGGAAAGAAATTAAATCAGGAAAACTTTTACATTCTGTTCCTACAGTTACTGGATAGAAACACCGCCTTCTTGTAGGTTAAATGTTTCCTCATTTGTGCAACTCTGGGATTTTACTAGGACCCTTGTTCTACAAATTTTTGCACAGCTATTTTTAAATAGATGCTGTCTCACAGTTTAGTTGCAAGGTCATGGACTAGACATGCTCAAATCAGTGAATCACCAAAATTAGATGAAGCATAGCACAAAGTCCTAGCTAGATTGAAAATGTTAGCCAAACTTCCATACAACAGTGATTTTAATTGAATCTACAGTATATTGATGACAGGAAGAAATGGTCTAAAGCTAAAATTTAATCTAAAAAATCCAATTAACTCATATTGCCAAGTCAATATAGATAACTTTAAAAGTTTCTTTACAAACTCTCAAACAATAGCCACTTCCCAATTTTATCAGTAAAAGGGTATATAGTTTTATACTTATTAATGTTAACAGGTCTAAACAAGTCAGACTGTTTTCTTGAAAACAAATGCTTTGTTGTCTAAAAATTTTCTTTTAATGTAATTGAAAATAGAGTTGCTCATATTTAAAAAAAAATCCTAATAGCGTACAGCTCTGTCATGCTAAAAGAGGTGGTATGGAATTGCCAAGTGCAGATGCACATGTAAGAGTGATGCTAAACAATAAACCACATTCATATTTCATTTCTGTAGAAGGTGCATAGTGGTTTGGGTGAACTAATCCTTCAATATTGCCAGCTATGTATAATAAAACATGTTAAAGGATTATTATTTATGGAAATGCTATGAATTTTTTATATCTACACTTGTAGCTTATTTTCATTTTAAAGACTGTAGACCATAATTCTGTACTTTTAATTTTGTATTCAGTATGGGGAGTTAATCCCAGAATGGGGCTTTTTTGATGCAAAATCTGAATGCTTGTGTAGTAACAACAGCTGTCTCCTCACCATGTGGTGTCTTCCATTGCTTTACTGAAGAGATGAATTTTGGCCCAGTGTTTCAGTAATATTGGACACACATGGTTTTAGGTGACAAAGCAGTATGTTTATGCATTTATTTGACTCTCGCAGTTACAGTTGGCTACAGATTAGAACGGGGAGAATACATTCACACCATGACCACCCTCATAGCTGCTTGTAGTAGTTGGATCACAGTAGGCGCTGTTGCATCTAAAGACACAATTAACTGTTGCTGAGGAATTGCAAATTCACAAAAGCTCTTTTACAGCTTTAGCGGTTGAGAGTGGATTTTCTAAAAGCTTTTTCAAAGATTTTTCGAATTTATAAATGTTTTAGATCATCACATTTTAAATTATTGTCAGCTTGAAATAAGATTAACAAGTTGATATTTTAATGTAGCTAATGAATTCTTGTGCTGTGAATTAGCTATGTAATTAGCTACAGATCTACGGAATGATTGTAGTTTTGCCCATTATTTAGGAAGATAACCTTATGAGTTCTGTAATATTTACAAATCATTAGTAAACTTGTGAGCACCTAGGAAAGTCAAAGCTTACCGAAAAAAGTCTGAAAATAAAACTTACCAGAAAGCTTCCAATGTGTACATCACTGAAAAGATGATCTCGATTTCCGTATGTAATTGCTTAGATATGCTTTGGATATGGTAAGAGAGAATAGCTGTGAATTTACTATTAAAAAAAACCAAAACAAAACAAACAAAAAACAAACCAACAACCAAAAAACCCCTCCAAAACGCCAACAAAAAAAATCACAAATTTTTAATACAAATTAAATTAAAAAATTACAGTAAACTGCTTATTAGGGCTAATTTTGATGTATGAAATTTGACTAATTTTTGAAAAAAGGCTTTTAACCAAAAATCTTAGAACAATTCATTATTTAAATTAGTGATGAAAATTTTTGTAAGTAGAACATTAAGTACCCCAAATCTTCCCTTCTAAAAATCTCTGAGAAAGATTTTAGTACAAAATATATATATATGGAGTACAATATAACAAATAAATAAATGGAGTATATTAACTTGTTTACTACAATAGAATTAATAAGGTGTTATGTGGAGATTTTCTATGCATTTATCATTTCTTCTGTAGGCCAGAGTGTAACTGTATGATAATGCATGTAATGTATGTGTGAGATCTCTCACATACACACACACGATTTAAGTGTCTTGCATTTGAGTCATCATAGACAATTCATTTTATACTTGTATTAAAAACTATCCGAATATGAACGTCTGAGGCTTTCAGCATGGAATAAAGGACTACGTGGATCCAAACTAGGACGATTGATGAAATCCTTGCTACTATTGGCTATTATTTACTGTCTTTTAAGTGGCAGGTTGTATTTATGCCAATTTATCTGCTTCAGGGAACACTCTTGATAGCAGAACAAAGTGAATAAAAGTAGTTTGCTTTGCAAATGAATGCAAATGGTGGAGCCTTTCGGGAAGCCCTTTAACAGGAGCAATGCACTTTGATTATGAGTGAAGCTGCCATTTGGACATGGTGAAAAGAGCACGCTTGAACCATTGATTGGGGGAGACAGTAAAAAGTCAGGAAGGGCCCCGTTAAGCTTGCGGTGCGGCAGGCGGATGTCAGTGTGGTTAGAGCACAGTGGGAGAATGACAGGCAGGATTAGTGTCAGGGAGAAGCTTTGCTGCAGTTGTGGAGATGGTCCCTGGGGTCACTCACCTCTGACTGTTGTTCTGTGCTGATGGCTCTGTAATGCAAACTGCTTGATATGTGCCTGTTCATTATCGGAAATGGTGATTAGAAGAGGTATGTCATAAAGAATTCCTTAAAAATAAATAAAATGGCAAACTACTGATGGTAACAAACGTTTGGCTCTGCGGTCGCTGCCAAAGATGCTGCAAATGGTCACTGTGTCTTGCATTCTGAGGCAAGCGCGACTTCATGCCTTAAGCTGCTGTACTTGCGTGTTCCTTGCTCTGTTCACCTCTATTTGGCCGTTATGAAGACAGTTATTTTTAACAGATTGTCTTATGTAGTTTGAGCAAAACATTTTTATATCTTTTGGTTATTGGGTGGTAGAAGCATCCGGTTTGGTTTTGTGGCATAACTGTGTTTGGGGCAGGGGCGGGGCGGGGGGGAATGTGTGTGTTTGTTTAATAGTCTTAATGGACTATCAGAATCAACAGATTTCATTCCTGAATCATACCAGAATGCTAAAACATAGGATGATTACAGTGACAAGAAGCTAAAATGACTGTTCTGTTTTATTTAGAGGCTTTTTTAAAATGTAAGAACGAGGATATTTTCTTTGTCTTTGCTGAAAAATCTTACATGTGCAATTAAATAAATGGCTAAAATTTTGCATCTAAAGCTGTGATTTAATCTTCCATAAAAGTATTGTTGCCTTTTACCTTTACTGCATTTTATAGTGTTATGTACATTGTATAAATGTTGATTGAAATTAAATGTGTTAGTGTGTACAATATACAAAATGCATTTTTTGAGTTTTAAGGATTTTTTATATCTTACTGTTGGTCTGTTGTTTTCATGCATTTTCAGCATCAGCACAGGGAGATGGTAGCCAGATACTTGAAACTATTTCTCTCTCTCTCTCTTTTTTTTTTTTTTTTTTTTTTACACCATTTGATTAATTTGTTTCAAGGTCTTTTCAGTATATTACCTCACAAAAATATGTCCAATATCCTAGTGTAATGAATGTTTTACAAATGTTTTACAGGCACCTGAATGGACAGAGGAGGACCTCAGCCAGCTGACAAGAAGTATGGTTAAGTTCCCAGGGGGGACCCCAGGTCGATGGGAAAAGATTGCTCACGAATTGGGTCGATCAGTGGCAGATGTGAGTTCACTCAGATTTGCATTGTATAGAGTGTGACAAACCAGAACAAGACAGGCAGTGTAGAAGGCAAACGTATATGGGGGCCGACATTGTCTTTTGAGAGGGACTACAATCCTTTTAGGACCTGGAAGTGAACCATTAACTAACTATGCAAGAAGCAGATGTCAGCCAGTTTCTCCCTCCACAATTAACAGCTGTAACTGATCAGCCGGACGGGGGATTCTGGTGCTTAAAGTCCTGAGCTACTGTAACCCAATAACAGAAAAACAATGCGCTTCGGGTTTTGTAGCAACCTCCTTTCGCTGCAAGCCAATGTTTGTGTGACTTGGTTAAAGATTACATTTCTGTTTCAAGCCAGTCCTTAAAAGATGTAGATGAGCTAATGGTGTTTAGACAGGTGGTTTCCATTAATTAAACTGAAATATCTTTACAAACTTTAAAATGAGTTATACATATGACACCAGTTCAGTCCCTTTTTCTGGATTATAGCATAGTTAATAATGATATTGTGTCAAATGATTAATATCCTTGTTAATTCATATTTTATAGTATTGTACCAGATATCAAAGAAAGCTTGTACTTACAGATTTTAAGTGTTATGATCTTAAAACCCTTAGGGGCTAGGCTGTAAAAGACTTTTCCTTTTCAAGCAATAGATCACTAGAACATGATGTAGTGTCTGCTGAGGACCATTTGAAAGCCCTTTCAGCTGACCCTATTTTATAGGCTCTGGAGAGGTTAATGAGAATAATGTTCAAATCTGTTCATGTACATTTTCAGATTAGATGTTCTTTATTTATTATATTTTGGGAATTATCTTAAATAATGGGAAACAAAGCCTCTGGCTAGTGTGAAATATAACCCATTATAGCCTTCTGGGCAATTTGAATACTTCTTAAGTGGTTTTTTTCCCCGTTGATATAATCACAAAAAGATATTTTTAGAAGTTTTTTTTAAAGACTTAATGCATCTATACAGTTCTGTTACATATACTAGAAAACAAGCCATTTGCATTCTTATAATTTTAGAACAACACATATTATTTGCAAATAAGTAGATGTAAGGAAGAAGTCACTAACCTGCTATGCAAGTGATGAAATTAGGTCTTTTTGTTTGTTCTGTTTAGTCTTGTTTATCATACTCCTTGAAGTATTTATACTACTGAATTGGAGTGACTTTATTAAGAAGGTGCTACATTTTACTAAGCAGATATTAACAGCAAAAATATTTCATATGGCTTGGTAGTACGCGTTATGCATGGGAAAGATCTTTTGAGATTGCTTTGGAAAAAGTGATTAATTTGCTTGATACTGATAATACAGACATGTGATAGGTATATGTGGAACCATTCCACAAAACTAACACTATCTTAAGATTCCTTTTGCACCCATTTTCTGCTCTATTCCTTGATGCAGATGTAAAAACGGTCTTTATTAAGAATCCTTTGCGTAATATCTTTGGCCACACATCCAGTACTAGAAAGAAAAAACAAAGCTCAGTTGCTTCTTCCATTAGCTGAGAAGTCTTGAGCAATATGCTGTTTGTTTCAGTGAATTGGAAAGAGAAATGAAAGAAAGGCTTATGTTCTATGAGCTGTCATTTTCTTGTATGAAAAAAAAAGGAATTTTCAGGGATTTTTATTTGTGGAGAAAGGTCTGCGTGTAATCCTTTTTACTTCCAGTGATCTCCAACTCTGATTAATATAAGTGTTCTTCACAGAAGTTTTTACTTCTCTAAAAATTTCCAACTGCTGATAATGCTGGGTCAGCCTTCCTGGCACAGTCTACGTTAGAGTTTCTGTTACTTTTATCATTGCATTGCATGGAGTTGCAGCAATTAGGTTTTGAGAGGAAATGCTTAAACAAAAGCTTCCTGGAAACTTCTCTGGATCTCAAACTGTTATTGAATCGGTATCAGCAATGCTGAAACTGGGAACTACTTCAGATATATCTATTCAGCTATTGAACAAGATGTACAGCTTATCCTTTATATTTGTTGAAGGTGACATAGAATAGCATCTAAATTTACAGCAAGGATTCTTATTTTGCTTGGGCATCACCATAGTTGGATAAGAAATGTTACGCTAAAACTGCAGGAAAGGCTTCTGGTTTTGTTAAACTTTGTGCAAGAAAAAGATGTGTTTCATGTTCAGGCAGCATTTGCTGCCCAAACAATTGTTCCCTGTTTCCACTGCAAGAGGTGCAGGGAGATAAGTTTTGGTGTGTGAGGTGCTGTTTTGAAAAAGCTTGTGTAGCAGAGTTTGGGAATCCCTTGCTTATAGCTAATTTAACATTAGTAAAGCCAGAGGGAGTTTGAAGTGTGTATTATCTGGCAAATACACTAGGTCTTAAAAAAGAAAAACATTCAAGGGCAAATTTCCGACATTTTCTCTGACACAGGAAATACCTTTTAAAAACTTGAGACCACTTTCTGCGTGTTTCTTCTCCTGTAAAGTATCAAGAGCAGTAAGGCTTGCTTTTCCTTTCACAGTTAGAGAACTATAGTAGAAAGGATTGACATGGTAACAGTGTGCTTGTTTCCATGTGATTTTAAGCATTCAAACCCTTTTAAATAGTAGATTAGCTGAACTGTTTTTATTAACAGCTATTTAAAGTCATCCAGTCCAAAATGATCTCTCCATTGTTGCTTCTGTCTCAAAGCTTTCTTCCTCAGCAAAAAAAAGGTTAGAAAAATATTTCAATACTTTTTAAAGAATAAGCTGAAACCACTCATATATACCAGAAAAGCATCAGTGAAATTCACTTCCTCTACCCCAAAGAAATTCCATTTCAAATTGCCTTAAACTCCTTCCTTTTTTAAAAAAGTAAATTCTTACATCAAGCTATATTCATTTCCACTGGCAATTTTTATTCAGGATGAAGTGACTTGAGGAGAGTGTTCTTGGATTTTATGAACTTTTCAGCTTCATGGTGTTGTTTTAACTTAGTTTTGTAGGTTTATTTGTTTTGGAGTTGTTTTTATATATTTCTGAATTTTCCTCCTGCCATTACGTTAATGAGTTTTGGAACAGTATAAAAGGAAGCGTCTAATGCTTGGAGCTTTAATACTGCTTTTTCACATACAAAGAAGGCCCCAAAAGTTTGTGTGTCTGACTCATTTCCAGAGAGATTTGTTCAGCTTGGAAAATTCTTCCTTGATTTTGCTAGAACATGACTTTGATACTCCAGAATCTGGTGAGCACAATGTAAATCTTACAAAGTGAAGAGGAACTGAAAGTATATTGGAAGATGAGTAGAATTCAAAAAGGTCAGGACAAATTGGAAAAATAAGGTGCAAAAAATAGGGTGAAGTTAGAGACAATATACGCAAGGACACATAGCAAGATGGTGATCAGGTTCACAAATAAAAGATGCCAGACAACTGGCTAGGGGTGGCTCTTAAGCAGGAGGAATGTGGGGATTAGCGGAGATAATGAGCTAGATACAAGTCAACAAACAGTGAGTTGTTGTGAAAAAGGCAAGCATCTTACTGAGAATATACAAACAGAAGGATGGTAAACCTGCATCTACATCCTTAGTTTGTGTCTAGTTTTCAGTATTGCATTTAAACACATGATTCAATATGAGAATCCAGATGAGAATGAAGAGAATAATAGGTCTCTAAGTGTGACCTGCAAGGAAAGATTGTGAAGGAATTAATTTTGTTGAACTGAAATAAAATATGAACTGAGGATGTAAGTATTCAACTACATAAAAAGAAAACTGTAAAGAGGAAGGGGCTTGTGCACTGTATTAGTTTTATAGGGCAAGAAGTAATTACCTCAAATTTTATCACAGGCTGCAGAGTTAGGACATTGAGGGGCAAAGAATTACAATGGAGATGATAAAGCAGTGGAATAAGCTGCTGTGGATGCTCTGTATTTGCAGGCCTTTGAGAACAGGTTACACAAACATCTGCAGGAAACAACATCAATGTAGTGATTCTGCGTGAAGTTAGGTCCTTCTCTTCATATGGTCTATGATTGGACTAGCAAGTGTAAGCTATCTAGGAGGAAAAGGGGAGGAAACAAAACCTTCCCTACAATTGGAAGCATGTGTGAACTAATCTTAAAAAATGTAAAATTAAAGCCAGATAGTCACTATAGTATACCTTAGCTTGACTGTTCTCAAATTCAGTAATTTCTAACAAGGTGTTCTTTCAGATTTTTTTTTTTCTTTTCTACTACTATTCAAATTGGGGGTTTGTAGACATTTAAGTTTGTTAATTGTTATTTCCCAAAATACTGCACAAATAAGGATTACTGTAAGGCCCATTATATGGGCATGTCTACCAGATTCTCCGTCCAAACAGGTACTTCCACACAATGTGATGCAGGCCACTGGGAAAGTGCCAGCCGAAATCCAACAACAAACAGCTTTGTCCATGCTGTAGTGCTCCCGAGTTCATTCAGCTCTACTGTTTCTATTTAAGCTGCCTCATGTGATACCAGCATAAATATCTTTGCAACATATTCCTATGCTTTTCAGCTTAGAGCTAGGTTAAGCTTGCAACCGTGGTGCAGACATACTGTAAGAAGGCTTATGACTTTAACTTTTGTCATGTTAAATACAGGATATGTTTATCTTGTCTCTCTTCAGGAAGACATCTTTTAACAGCCAATGAATAATCAACCCAAAATAGATGAGGTTAAGTTGTGCTCATTTTACCAGTATGTTTAATTATTTAAATTGCTAACTGTCATTTTAATATGTGCATATTGGGAATTTAGCAATCTTTTCCTGTAAAGATGATTTTCAACTGGCTTAGTATAATGAAAACTTACTGCTTTCACAACTGAGAGCTGCTACAGCTCTTTAAGTAATTTTTATTGCAATTGGCTGGTGTTATAAATTAGATTTTTAAGTATTTTGATTATGAAAGGGAAATGGAGTTCAGTTAACTCTAATCAGGATTCCTGCCTGCTGACCTGGTTACCTGTACCACTGCTCTCTGTCATCCTCTAAACATCTGTTCTTTGACCCATTTTCCTTGCTGAATTT